TTTTTTTTTTTTTTTTTTTTTTTAAGTTTATCGCAAGTTTTGATGGTTTGTGGTGATTGGTGACAGAGGGAGCTAGGGCGCGTCTCAAAGCAACTTAAGAACCTGGTATGTTCACTTTTTATTTGCTTATTGTTATTATTTCTTGTATTCTATTGTATGTATGCAATAATAGAATGACCATTTCTCGCTGTCTTTTTTAATTTTTATTAAGAAAAACTATGCGTGATTTTGTTCCTTCTTTCTTGATGAAAAGAAAAATTAATTAACAATGTTTATAGCCAGCCGTTCCATTATGTTTAGAGACAAGCTGTTCCATTTGTGATTTTATCTTGTAATTTCAAACAATTGATCACTAATGGACTGGCTGCCGTTTGCATGATTTTCTTGTGAATAGATTATTTTTTTCCTTGATTTGGAAACTAATGTTATATAGTTTTAGTGAAACTTATTTATTAAGTAGTTAAGTGCCAACTATTCCCTTTGTAACAATGATATGTATAGAAACTTGGGTTTTATCTAACTAAAAGAACTTGGTTACAGGAACAAGAGTGTGTTGAACTCAGGAAGAAAAGAGACAAAAAAGAGGAGCAGCTTAATGTTGTCTTTTCCAATAAAGATAAGCAATATATTGCGCATCATGGTCCAGAAATTACAGATTTGTGAGTAAAGTTTTCATTTTTCGGAAAATGTTAACAGTTTTAGGCTGCAGTTTGCCTGTAGTCTCTATTTTGTTAGACAACCCAACGGTTCAAATATCAACAATCACCAACCCTACCATCAAGTATAGAACGATTGTCAATAAGCTCTTCCCTCTTTTTGTAAAAAAAATCATCAAATTTGGTTTCTTAATTTTACTCATACAAATGAAGCATCATATTTGGAGCAAATATCTTGGGAACTATATACGAGGTGGCCATGATACATTTGTACATTTGCTCGTTCCCTAATTATATTGTAGAATACTTGTTGTGCCTAATTGAATTTACTTTTCTGGAATGTCTTGCTTGGCTAACCTTACCTTGCTGTTCATTAAGTTGAGACCTGGAATGAATTATAGTTTCTTTTGTGCATTTATCATCTGAACTTTATAGTTAATTCTTATCCTTCATCATCAATAAATCAGGAGAGTGGCAAGGAAAGATGGTGGGCATCCTGGCATCAAGAATGAAGATAATTCTGGTGGCCCTCATACTGGTAGTTATAAGGATGAGCTAAATATAATTTCCCGTTAATTTTATGGTGCATACTAACTAATTTTTTTTCATTATCTTACTTTTTTCGCATCTACAAGTTACTTCAAGGAGTAAAGCCAATGAACAGGGAGAAAAAACCCATAATTCTGTTGGTGAGAGAGCCAACGATGATTCACCTGCTTTTGACAAGCTCTCCAAGAAGTTGCAAGTCTTCTGGGTTCCTGAAAAGGACTTTAAGATGGGACAAAGTTTGGTTTCAGAATTGCTTTTATCATGTGAAAGAGATTTTCATGTGCTTTTTCAGTGCATCGGCACAGAGTTATCCCCTAAATTCTCTGTGAATTCATTGGCTGGTGTTAACTCTTCTGATGTAGCTTTAAAGCATCCTCTGCAGGTTCTTCATGGACCGGAATCTATAAAAGTATCTAACCTCTACACCACCTTGACCAAGGTATCCTGACAGATTTTATCACTTTTTGGTAGCTCCATAGAAAATCCAAACTTCTTCTTTATTAAATATGGTAAGTGATTTTTTTTTGCCACCAAGTTTTTGTGATCATCAAGAAATGGATTGTTATCATGTTACTGAGGGTAGCTCAAAGTAGGAATTATTGTTTCCAAGCTTTCAATGTGGTGTCTCGAGGACTGGGAGAACTGGCAGAACAACGTCATTTTTGTAGTAAAAGTACCAAGAGAGCAGTTAATTCATATGTACTAGCTTTTTTTTCAATCTGTAAAATGACAGATAAATATTTAGTAAGTGGAGGATAACTTCGATTTTTTTGGACTATTGAAGTTCATAATTATCAATTTAGAAACTTCTGAGAACGGAAGTGCCTCTGTATCTTTTATTTTTTCTAATTGACTTGCTTTTTGCTATAATTTTATTTAGCAATTCATTTCCTGGCCTGATCTTATATTTGTTATTGTCTTTAAATAGTCACATTCGCTGTTCTTTTAATAAGTTTCTTTAATTATTTTCCATCTGTTTGTTGGTTGTAGGTAAGTAATGGAATAGTCAAGATGGAGGCATTGTTTACCCCGTTGATTGATCTCTGTAATCTTGACAACGTGAGTAAGAGTTGAAGTTTTCCTGGTTAAACAAATTGAAATAAAGTTCAGATTTGGTTACTTTTGAATCTGCATTAGGACTAACAAAATCATCAAGTGTGGATTTCAAAAGTTTAAACATATGTATGGCAGCGAAGAACACTCGCACCAATAAAGGAGAGGAATGGCTAGCAGACCCATGCCCAAGTTAGTTAGGTCGCAGCAATGATCCTTTTTCCCCCTTTTTCTCTTCCTCTCTCTATCCATCACAAGAAACAAAAATCAATAATCAAGGAAAATACAAGAGGGGGAATGAGCCTCAATCCACTGATTAACCCTGGGAAGATTTTTGATAATTATGATCAATTACATTATATCCGCTACTATGCAGGGAATGTCTTGTGGTTTCCATGTTTATGCATTGTTAATCATGTTTCTGAAGTAGGCTGTTTATGATCACTATTAATTAATACGGTAAATTTGAACGTTGTATGGTTACGTCACATTTTCTAAGTTTGTAAGTCATCTATTCATCAAGAAAAAAAAAAGTAAAGTTTGTCAGGCATCAATATTTTTTGATGTGGAAGTTCGGTTGTCCATTTGAGCAAAAAACATATATTCTTTCTGCACTATTCCTTCTCTGTTTGAAAATTTTGTTCCTTTAACTTTGGATGCAGGTTGCGATAGTTCATAGGTCTCTGCACATATTGCATATGTTTCTGAAGCGCCTGATGTGGTTGGAGAGGAAATCAGAAAGAAGGTACAGTGCATTCTACTTTGCAACAGATATATATTTTAAATCCCTTGAAGCTTATTATTAATGTGGGAGCAGAAATTTTCTACTGCCAAATTTTCCAGCGTAATTCAAATTGCTTGCCAATCAAGTGTTAATATTTTGACTTTATTCTACTCCCGAGGTTCCTTGCGGATTGATTATTTAGAAAGAAAAAAAAAGACAAAAATTTGAAGTGTTGTCCATAGATGTTTGTCAAGTAATTCTGTGTACCACCACATTTCTTTTTGGCTGAGCTGGGAGTTTGCCTGTACTATCAATGATGGCACTGAACTTGGATGAATTTGTATTTCTGGCATATTTTAACTCCATGTTAATTTTTATAGTATTTAGTTGGTAGTTGAAACAATTGAAGTCAACTCTGACTCATACATATTGGTTGATGGCGTCTATCAATTTAATGCATGTCTATATATGGTTTTATTGTTTACGATAGTTACCATTCTGATTTCCTTAATATCATTTAGGATCAAATCCTTCTTGAGTGATGCTGTAGTGTTCAGTGTTAAGAACTTCCTTGTTTCTTTTGGTTCTTATGAACTCTGATTTGATCTTTCCAGTGCAATCTGCTCAGGAAAACAGTCATGATTGGGGGACTTGGCCCTAGGAACAGTGTTGTGGATTCTTATGGATCACATAGTGCAGAAGGTGAAGAATTTTCTTTGCTGAACATGGACGAGACATCTACTGGCCACTGTTCTCCAGCTGGCATGGGATTCCCTGGTGCTGAATTGCTTTTCAAGAACAGAAACTTGAATAAGAATATAAATTTAGTTCCTCGAGTAAACTGGGTATCTTTCTTCGAGATGATGCATCGGGTTGCTAAAATGCATAGTGCAGAATGTGCGAGACTTGAGGCAGTTTCGGTCATGAATTTGATTCTGATGAGAAATAATACTTATTTGGAGAGGGAGAAGTAAGTTTGTGCTTTTTTAGTCTATATTTCAATGTTCCAAATCAGAAACGACTCACATTACTGTTACAGATTTGGTCAGGCACTACTGTTTGATAGTGTAGTGGAGTTCATCAGAAAGGAATCCGGTTCAGCCATACAAAAGCATGCTGTGCGCCTTCTATTCCTGATACTAAACTGTAAGGCTTAATAATTTCAGTTCATTGTCTTAAAAGATTTTTTTTTTTTTTTCTTTTTTGACTTCGCAAGGTTATGACAATTCTGCTTAAAAATTATTTAAGTTTTAAATTAGGGAAAACTCTTTTCTTTTCATTCTTCTAGACTTCAAATTTCTGAGTGTATTTCATTCCAACTTTAAATTTTGGATGAATTTTTTATTTAGTGGATACATGTTATGTTGAGGATTGTTGAGGTTATGTCGAGCGTCTATTAAGGGAGGTTATTCGAGGGCTACATAGACCTAAAGAGAGGCTATATAGTGTACTTTGTTCAAGGGTAGGATTGTTGAGGATTGTTGAGGATTGTTGAGGATTGTTGGGAGAGAGTCCTACGTTGGTTAATTAAGGGGATGATCATGGATTTATCAGGAATACATCTCCATTGGTATGAGACATTTTGAGAAACTAAAAGCAAAGCCATGAGAGCTTATACTCAAAGTGGACAATATCATACCATTGCAGAGGGTCGTGGTTCCTAACAGGTAATTGGTTCTTTTAGTCTTCTCTTACATATTCCTAGATTTAATGAATGCCACGAACTTTGGAACTGGATCTGGTGTTTGTTTCAAATTATTCAAGCGAGAAACTGTAAATGCTTGCATTCTGGTCGTAGTTAGCGCCAAAACCTGGGCACCTCAAGCATTGCGGCTGAATTTAGAAGGCTGCTTGTAGCCTTTTTTTTTTTTTTTTTTTTTTTTTAACTTTTAATCG